TTTTTTTTCCCCAGATGACTTCTCTTCTTCCGTTTCATAAATTCCTATTTTTAACAAGAGAAAAGTAAGCAGATATTATTCAGTACAATGCTTCATGTCATACAGATCTCCTTTTCTGGCACATTGCTGCTTGAATAGGCCACCTTCAGTAGTTTTAAGAAGGTTTTTTTTTACATATTGTTTTCACTTAGGGCAGTGCAAATTTCTTTGGAAATCTATGACAATCAATTAAGTAAATGAGCAAATAGAATGCTTGTAATTAAGATAATCAAGCTACATGAAATCCACCCTACTAGTGCTAATATCTATATATCTCCAAGCTGTATATTAATTAAACACCATGTAAGTGTTGCAATTAGACTCAGGCTGCTATGGTGAAAATGAGAGAAAAAAGAAAATGATTGGAGGGGTTTTTACTGTGTGTGAAACTCGTAGTTGTTTTAAAGCATCGTGTTATGATTTGTAAGGTTGCTACGTTGCTGCAGACAGTCCCCGGATGCCCGAGGACTCTGCAGCAGGCTTCAGCTGCTTCTGAAACAGGTGACCCAAAGAAAATAGATTTTGGTTTGCAAAAGCTACCTTTCTTCTCAGGGGTGTGCATTATTTTCCCATCGATTTCATGAATGAGTTTGGGTTACTGAAACCAGTAGTCAAAGAGGTTAGATATTTCATTCTACATAGGAAACTGCAAAGGGGAGAATGGAGAGAGAGAGGAATTATTCTGACTAGTTCTTACAGTAAAAGGGACTCTGTCCTGTTTTTATATTATTTTGTTTTGTGTTTTTATTTTGGTGTGAAGACTCTAAGATCACTCAGGCGTCCCTGCTGGAAAAACCAGCATCTTAATATGTTTGTACTGGGAGACGAACACTACGTGAGACTAACTGGATAATCTGGGTGTATTCAGATTGTGCTTCTTCACTTACTTCCTGGTGCTTTTGGGGGGCTTGGGGAAGCAAAAGGCTCTGTCAGGGTCAGCGTGTGGCTCTACGAGGCCGGGGAGGACCCCTTCCCTCTGTATGGGTACCCTCCCGGGCATCACACAGCAACTTCAAAGTGACTTTATTGTGGTTTTACGAGATGTGGGGTTTGGGACATTCATGCTTTCTCTTTTTCTCTTGTGTGTAGCTTTTGATGGCTGCAAGCATACGCATTAAAGTACTGTGGAGGTAGCGGAAGAATCATGTTGCAGGGCCAAGGGAGTCAAACAGCTTCGCCACCTTAGAACTGCCAAACTTCAGTCTCGTTAGCTGGGGATGCCAAAGCGGCTGAATAGAGCAAAGCAGATGATGAACCCATCTGCTAATTCACCAGATATTACCATGGCTGTTTTAAGAGTAAGTCTTTGGAGTCAAATGAAGTAGTGTGGACATGAGCTTGATGAAGTTGCTTCGCAAATGATGAATAGAAGTAATATTTTTGTTGTGTTTATTTTTTCCAATTATTTTTTAAAAATCTGCTTTTACAGCACAATATTCTTCCTTTTGACAAATGAGCCTGTTCACTGGTATTGTGTTTTCAGATAATACCATTTTCTTTTCTAGAAAGAAGTGAAGAAGAAAACTGTACAGGACACCTTCAGTTTTTCATTTGACTTTGTTCTTAATTTTTTTTATTATTCGACATGGATACAAAAAAATAGTATCTTGATTAGCAGCTTTGCTGGCAATCCCACAAAACTGTAAATAATACTTTAATCTAAAAGAATGCACTCCTACAGACACTATAGATAAAACAATATATACAATTTAGACAAATAAATACATAAGTACAGCCAGTCATATATAATGATACACCTAAAGTTCGGTTACTGTTGACAAGCTTGTCTAGTTAATTACACTCTTCATTTACAAATTGCCATTGCCATCTACATTATAAAGACAGAAAAAATCCCAATAAGGAATTGAAATTGATACTTAACATTATTATTAGGAAAGACGGAAAATGAACCTTGAGACTTCTGTTTAAATACTTCATGGTTTTAGCAAAAAAAAAAATGCCTTTGTGAAAAACTCCTCCTAAAGAGAGGCATTTCCCCTCTAGCTTCTTTGCTCAATGTGTTTTGTTCATGTATGTTTTGGAATCAAAATGTGATTATAGTCACACTTTTGAAGTGCCTAGAAGCCAGCACGTCTTAACCAAGTTGTCATTTGTCCCATGCCTAGTGAAACAAAATGACCTTTAAGTAACATGAGTATTTCTTTTGATTAAAGGAAGCCCAATGCAAACACTTGTTTGTTAACAGTACCCCATGTGGCACGAATACTACTGGGTGGAAGGGACAGTAACCTGTCCCTATAAGTAGATGTATCGCTCTCTTTCTAGCTCCAAGTTGCAATACTGCCATTTCTGAGCAAAGAGAAAATAATACATCTGTTACCTAAGTGTAACAAGCTAGTGAAGTCTAGTATCAGAAAATTAATAGAAATAGAAAATTAGGCTTTTGTTGTGTTCTTTTAAATTCACTTGACAATAAAAAAAAAAATAATCTTGTACATTCAAAAGTTAGGGCACACATGCTTAAGGCTCTTGAAACACTGGACAAATATAATGCTTAACTCAGCTCCATGCATAACAGAATACTACGTAGCAAGCAGACTCTACACGTATATACAGCTGAATACAGAAGAAAATGCCTTAGAAATATGTACATCAGTTCCAAGATGAACATTTACATTTCTGTTGAAGATCTATCTATTTATAAATGGCAGGAAATATATTTTTTTTCAGATACTATTTTCAAGGTGTACCTTCCAATCACTAATGCAGTCTACTTGTACTAGGAGAAATTCAAGGCTACCATGCTACTCGAGCCCTGAGGTATCTGGATTGGGAGCCCTGCTGTCCTCTTGGTTACTAACCAAAGGCCACAGAAGTGTCAGCAGGAGAAGTAAGGCCACCAGATCCATTCAGTTGTGGATTCAGAAACCCCGAATTACTGCACGGCGCGGAGGGATAGCAACCTGTGGGTTGAAATTATTACAAAGTGTGTTCCCGGTAGGATGGCATCCATGCTGTCTGATTTACTCAAGGGCTGGGGATGAATTCCACCCTTGTTTCCCTTCCTAAACTGCATATTCTGGGGCTTGGGTAAGGAAAGCTGGACTTCACCCAATCAATGTGTGTGTGTTGTATATTCACCTATGCAATTAGTTGGACCTTGTTTAGCTAGAGTTCTGAGTCTGACAGGAAGCAAGAGCAACTTTAACAAGGACTAGGTCAACTAAGGAAGGATAAATCTTAATTATGCTGCAAGAGATTCAGTATTTTTATATAAAATTACCAATTTTCATTTATGAAGGATGCAGAAGCTCCTGTTGATTAGCAGTAACTCCTGGGCTATCTGTTGTGTAGCTTTACCTTTAGATCTGAAGTAGATTTGAGACACCTACTACTGCTTGTGGCTTGAAGGCCAAGTACGCTTTGCCTTATTTACAAGTAGTTCCTTTCAAAATGATAGTGTTGCATCTGTGAATAAGATTAACAATTTGTCATGAAACTGCAACCCTTTTGGGGTAGCATCTTCATTCCTCTGTTATTGTTGTAAAGTGCTATGTACACCTATGGCAAAATCAGGTCAAGAGTTTTCCTTTAAATTCTTATTCAGGTAATTTCTGACAATTTTATAGACATTCTGAATAACGTACAGACTTAACAGTTTTTCATACGTTACACGTAACGCCAGCTGAAATGAATGAGACTTTTGTGTGTGCTGTGGATGGTGTGAGTAATCTACAGCTAATAATATAATTGGTGAGTTTTGTATCTTTGTAACTTGTCTGTGAATTCTTCATTCCAAGTTATTAGCTGAGCAATGTCATGTTTTAGCTCTTTGTTAGAAGGTGGTGCTGAATAGAGATGGCTTGAATTTATTGAAGAATTTTCCAGGAAATAATTTTCATGACATTTCATTAACATTCATATTCAAAACACATAAGCACATTATGAAACTTGAATAAAATCATCTGTATTTGATTTCTGTCGCATGGTCTGGGGATCTCTTGAGCAGGACCTCAGTGAATATTGGCTCTGTGATGAGTAACCTGGGAGCTACAGATTTGTAACAGAGGCTAGAATTTGTTTTTCTTTAATAGGTGATTCTTGAAAGCCCTCTATTTTGCTGTGAAAGTTGTACGTAACTGTTATGTACCCTGTTGCCCAATCAACAGAAAATGGATTGCATTCTTTCATTGGACAAAATTCTACTTTTCTACACCATTAAAAATCTGGCAGAATCTCATTCATATATGTACTGTAGCAAAAGGTAGAGCTTACCCTTAAAAGGCTGCTTTAGTGTTACTTTTTTTTAGGTAAATAGTGTACTGACTAATGTTGAAGAAATATGCTACTTATTGATACTTTTCTCATTTAATATAATTATATATTGCTATGAAAGATGCTTAATGGAGAGATCCACTGATACTAATGAGAAACGTTGCACTTGCTTTGAAATTAAAAATTAAAAGATATTCATACGTTTATCACATATTTTTAAGATAGTTTGTCATACATCTCTCCTGTCTTATTTCACCTACAGATTCTACTTAATTTTAAAATTGTATTAGATCTTTTAGGGGCTACTTTAGGCAGTGGAAAGAAATGGGGTATCTTCTGAAATAATTTAAAGGAATACCATTTGGTGGATGAAAATGTACTTCAGTGTGTGGGCTTGTTTCGAAGGCCTATGAGACTTTGATGTTATTACTTGTCTAAATTCTGCTATTAAACCATCAGTAAGCTGTTTGGGAATTGCATACATTGTACGATAAAATATACACGTCAAGATAGGTGTATGAGGTCAGTGCAAATGTATACCGCTCAATTTATTAACAGAGCTCTAAATAAAGATGATTGTAGGGTGTTAAAAAAGGAATAGAAGTATATTTGTAATTCTTCATTTCTTAGGCCCTGAGTCTTATCTCAGAGGCTGAGGCATGAACTGTTAAGCAGCTCATGATAGTTTATTACTGTCCTTTTACATACAGATGCAGGAGCTGATATGTGTGATGGAGGATAATATACAAAATCTGAGATTTGACTCTAGAGCCTTTTGGTTGGTGTAATGTCCTTATGAAAACAGCCTGAAGTCTGTAAACCAGTAGTCAAAATAAGAATGAAAAATCAGTCATTAAAAATCCTCTCACAGTTAATATCCCACAGTTTAACCTGTAAATCAGCAGATCACTTTGTCAAAAAATAACGACACTAAACCAAAATTAAAAAAAGGTATTTACATCTGTAAAAATCTTAACATCTAAGATGTTTCTTGCTGGACATGTCATTCCAAATTCTGTGCATTTCTTCTGGTGTTATCTGGTGCACTGTGATCACCCTGCGGTACCTGCACAAACTGTAAGCCATTTTCCAGTGATTGAAGCCACTGTTTTGGAAGGGGTGAATGCCCAGCTTCCTAAGACAGAGTCCAACGTACACGTCTTCAAGATGAAGTAGTCTGGTATGAAGGGAGGTTTTGTAAATCAGTTCCGCTACGTCAGCTGAAAATATGTAGCCGGTGCCTGAACAGAAGGGTGGATAATTGCTGTCGGGATACAGATCTCTCGGCATGTACCACTTACTGCGAACATCTCGTATTGGTCCTCCGTTTATAACATAACCGGTGAAGTACCTTCTCCTTGGCTTGGTGTTAGGTTTGAGCAGCTTATAAATAAGATTATCCATATTTACAAAAATATCACTGTCTGTCTTCATAACGTACTTTGCTTTTGAACAAAATGTTGCTACCCACCTCATCCCCATCAATGTTTTCAGAGTGAGGTTATGATAAGAGTCGATAAAATCCTCCACAATAATGTCATGAAAAATTTGGCTTTCTTGCTCTACCATTTGATTTAACACAGGATCTGTGTTTTTTCCAAGAAGAAATAGCGTGGCGATTTTAATTCCTTTAAAGTTGTTTTCATCGCCCCACGTTTCTCGAATGGCTTGCCTTGCATCAAATTCTTTGTGAGTTGTGCTGATAAGAATGACCAAGAAAGGAACACTCTTCTCACATTTGTTGGGTTCATTGATAAGAAAGTCAAAGGAATGTGGATTTATAGGTCGAGTTCTTATGTTGCCAAAGGAAACATTTTTCCTGGCTATAGATATGCTACTGAGCTGTCTGTGGCCAGTGTAGGACGAAGTAGGGCGAGTTATACTTAAGTACCAAAGAGCGCTTGCCCAACAAACTACTGTCAAAACGTATAAGCATGAGACCTTTGAAGCCATTGTTCTTCTAGCTCTTCTATTCCGTATGACGAATAAGTAGCCTTCGTACCATGAGCGCACCTATGTCCCAGAGAGGCAGCATATTATTAATGAAACTTGAAAGTTCGATACAGAAAAGTAACTCTGTAATCATTCATGGATCTCAAATAGGAGCTATTAACCCTGATGATACTCAGCTTTTCTTCTTTTACTAGCAGCGGCTTCCATTTCTTGGAATTTTCTGTTATTTCTGAAAAATATGAAGAAAAATTTTCCATTGCTAGATCATAAAAGCCTAGGGCAAGAAAAATGAGCTTAAATAGGACTGGCCGTTAATAAGCTAAGTGTCTTAATGCATTTCTTGGATATCCTTTCTTTTTCTCATGAGGTACCACAATGCAAGATAGCATAGTAGAATATAGCAGTATAAATGAAGTAAAGGTTTTATCACTGATAATTTCTCATAGGTGATAATATATTTAAAAAGTTAAGCATGCATAGCATGTTGGCTATTTAGGTAATTTTAAAGGTATATGAAAATAATTTTCTGGTTTCTAGCATTTTCTTGCTTCCTAACATTTTTGCTGGACAATCTTTCAAAATATGCCATGGAACATTTTAAAATTATTTAAAGAATGAAAATGTACTTTATCTTAGGATTAATAGCATCGGTGGCAACCATGCACATGAATACCTACAGATCCCATTTAGTCTAAAGGTTTTTAATGTCTGCCCGGCTAACAAGAGCACGCTTTGGTAGAAACTGGACAGAATGGGACTGATTAGTAAAGGTACAGGAGAGAGATACAGATGCTGTCTTACCCATGTAAAGATCAGCGCCCGAGTAGAGTCCATAAAAGTCTAGAAATAAATCAACACAGTTCAGTTATTCTTATTGGCTTCCTTCTCCTCTCCCCACAAACCAGTCTTTACTTTTCATGAGCAAATATCATTTGTATACCATGTAAGATAAATCATGATGGGAGCCTAGTAACAGTGTCACTTTGCTGGCTGGCGTGCAGAGCACTTGCCCACCCAGCTGGGGTTCCTGCACCGGCAGCCCTTCCCCGCTGCTGCGCCAGTCCTGCCTCCGGCACCGGGGAGCTTTGAGGCTTCCCTGGATCTGGAGAATGTGCCAGCCCTGAAGCTTCCTCTGCTCTTAACATGTTTCCTGGGAACCAGTTCTGTTCATCATCATTTCATGGGAAGGAGACAAGCTGTGTTAAGCCTGCCGGATCAGTGCTGACTCCTCCAAGGCACACCAGTAGCTGGAGAGTGCCTGTAGGCTCCACATTCCTGAGTTTTGCCATTGCTTCAGAGCTAAAGGATAGTAGTAGCATGCAACAGATGAGCTTTACACAAGAGTCTTTGAAATATTTAATATTAACTTTGGATAGAACAAAACATATATGGATTCAGATAAAGAGATACAAGCCCTGTCTTAGAAATGTCCTTTCTGTTTCCATGCTGCTTTGACACGTTGCTTGGATTGCATCAAAATACGTTGTGCCTCCCCCACGTTGGATACGTATGGTCTCTTTTTCCTTTCTCCAAAAGCAGATGAGAGCGTGGCCCTGGATGTGACCCCGTGGCAGGGTCCCCTGCCAAGTGGTCTGTCGCTGAAGGTTTGTGCAGACAGGGCCCCCCTAGGCAGACTATCAGAGTTAGAGGACTGTTATCCTGTGTTACTATATCACGCTGAGGTGTAAAAACAGCAGGGAAACAACATTTGCTAAATATATACAGACTATAGTCTCCTTATAGATTCTTATAGCTAGTGCTGTCCCGCTAGTCTTCATTACATGCACTTTGAGCTATTTAATGACCAGAACCTGCATACCCCTCTCCCCTTCCACAAAATGAGAAAATGTGAATTTGTGGCCTGTTTCAGAGCTTTATCCCTTTCAATCCGTTTTGCCCCATAACTGGGGCAATTTAATGAGATAGACCATGACTGTGATCTCCTTTGCTGCTTGTCACAAGACTCGGAGTTTGTGATCTTTTCCCACCAAGCAGTAGCAGTAAATGTTTGGGAGCAGTATATTTAAGCGAGGCCATTAATTGCCCCATAGGGCTGCAGATCTTGGCACGCAAACGTACACCCCTGTAAATAAATACAGTTGTGATAAATATATACACAAATGCTACTGTAACGCCTGGAGAGGGGATCTGTCCTGCTGTAACAGCCCACGGAGGTCACTGGGACACAGTTCTGAGAAAGGCAAAACACATCCCTGATCTAGTAGGTTGTTTTTTTTTCTGGCTTTGTTGTGAATCTCAAATAACTGGGGTTTCCAGTGGGGAAAAACACTAAGCGTGAAATGCCATAACATAATGAAAACGTAAGAGTGTAAGGTCTAGAAGACTGTGTTAATAAAGAAACATAGCAGTCATGGATTGGAGATGTAGAGTGAGAGCTATGTAGGTCAGTGTACTTAATGGACTCCAGCATTAAGGTCTCACATATACTTCTAATATTCTGCATATGATGAATTATTTTAGGAAACTATATATTGCATTCTCTAAACACAAATATTTTTCTACATCTTTTCTTTACTAAAGGCAGGTGCACTAGTTACCATGAATACCATGCAGATATCCAAGGGAAAGGAAAACTGTAACCAGTGCTTCCTACAAACGGCAAAATTACATAAAATAGCCTTTCAGTCCAGCAATGTCATGGCTGTGATGTCCAATCTTGTGCACTCTGAAAGGATTAGAAGCAACAAAAGCCTTACACCATTTTGAAGAAAGATTCCAAGCTATTGTAGGGAATTTTTTGCTCAGTTATGAAATGTACAGATAACTGTTTGTCCAGGATGAATATTTCTTAGATTGGCCCTTGGATTGCTGTCTCTTGACATAAGTTAATCTTTTTCTGTTGTGTTTGGTTTGGGGGTTGTTTGTTTTGCCTTTTTAAAAGAAAAATAACAGTTTTGATGGTGTTCTTTGGTTTGGAGTGTTTTCCACCATCCCTGTGGTAATTTTTGAGCAAAGTGCCGGTGAAGTCATTAAGAGTGAACTGGCTGTAGTTTTCCTGACAAGTGAAATTTTAGATTTAATTATTTTTTAGGAAGATTGAGGAGAAAAACAAAAAGAGAGTCTCTGCTATTCTTGCTCTGCTGTGAGGTGAAGATGTGAAGATTAGAGTTCATGTTTCTGCTTTACCTGAGCTTTTTGCTATATATGGGGAACAGACTTGGAAGAAAATAGCACAGACTAAATTGGCAAATGTTGCAAATACAAAACAAAATTTGCTGAGGAGTCTTGGCCTGCTATTTTAGCTGAGATTATTGTCACCTTCAGGACTGATCTCTCTCGCTCTTTGTAGGGTCACAGAGGAGGGGGTTAGATAAATAGCTACGTGGGGGTTTTTTTTTGGCCATAGGGTAAATGCTCCTACAAATTATTTCTGGTAACATTGTTCCTGTACTGTAATTCCAATAATGTTTAGCTTGCACAAGCAAGAAAAATACATAGCTTGATTAGGCAGGCAAACATGGACTAAGTCGTGAAATACCTATTTTACGATGATTGAGCAGTCAAGAATTTCAGAGGTTGCCAAATTCTGTTATTAAAGACGATGCTAATTCATCAAGGACCTAAACGAGTGCCTAACTCAGACATTCCTAGAATTACTCTCTGTTGAAGGTATCTTGCAAAATTATTCACAGTATCAAAGTCTGTGACAGCAAACCTTTTCCATGCCATGTGGCGTGACCTGAAACCAAACTCTGCAGCCATGCAATATGTGGGACTTGTATATCAAGGATGTGAATTACAAGGAATGAAATCAGAGTGTAAAATTAAAGTGCTCAAATTATATTGCATTAAAACTTTTGTGTTAATTACTCATTTGGAAAGGAGGAGGAATAAAGTATGTGAAGTAAGGTTGCTACTTTAATCTAAATAACAACCGAAAGCACTTCAGTGCCTGCATGTTATTGTGGTTCCTTCAGCAGTTTGCCCAGAAGTTCTTCAGAACATTCTTAACCTAGTGAATAGTACATATATCAAAAGCTGCCCTAAATATTAAAATGTGTAGCAAATTCATTAATATATTGTGTTTCTAGTCCTGATACTGGATTCAGTGTATCGTCACTGTAAGGATGACCTTTTTTTTTTTTTTTAGTTTTGCCATGATGTTCTTGAATTTGGTGCTGAAATTTGAAGACCCTCTTACAGTAGGATATGGGTTGTCATAGGGAGAGTGGAAAGCTTTTATCAGCTTCGGATTTTGTCTGTTGGGATAGGGTATGTCACATTTGGGGACACTGGCACAGACAAAGGGAAGTGTTATCTCCTTTCCTCTGTTTTGTAGGGTGAAAGAAAGCTTTTTAGAAGGGTAGCAGCAATATTAAGCTCTTGGATCCTTCTTTTTAAAAATGTTTTAATTTAATCTGTCCCTTTTTCCAACCTGGCTGTCATATTATTAGTAACCAAAGGCTCAACTCTGCTAGGGTAAATGATTGTAAAAAGCAAATGTTCAGCATCGTGTTTCCATATTGTGACTCAAAGTTGTGCACTTAATTGCGCTATTCACAGCTCATGCTGTGCAAGCCAGAGAAGCCACCCAGTCAGAGCACAGAAGCGGTACTGTGTAACTTCCGTAAGCAATTGACCTGATGGAGACTGTGAGTATTCGCAACAAACCTTTTACGAGCTGACTGCACACCAAGAATAATCCTCCAGATAATGAGCACGTTTGAGAACCTTGCTAACTGTTCACGGGCAATTTTCAGGCAGACGTCAAATGAGTTCAGCAAATGTTACTCGCCAACTGCGATATTTTGCCAATATTTTGGAATGCTGTTGTCTCTGCTGAGAGGTTGTTGATCTTTTTTTTTCAAGAAAGCCCATCCTATGTAAGTGCAGTTGCATTAATGTAACTAGATCACGGTAGACGCACATGATAGAAACCACAGCTCTTGAAGCCTGGCGTGTTGCCAGAGCTGTAATCCATACCATGTTGCTATCTACTGCTGAGGCATAATGTAGGTGCTGAGTGGAGGCAGTCAGGA